TTTTTTTTACTTGTTTTAGATATGATTTCCTCTATGTCATAAGGTGTGGTTGGAGTAAGAAAGAAAGAAAGAAAGAAAGAAAAGAAAGAAAGGAAAAAAAGAAAGTGAAAATTGAATGAGGATGTAGATTCAACACATGTGTGACTGGTTTCTGTGATTTATTATCCAGAAAAAAATCACTAAAGTGATTACATAATATTTTTTTGTCAGTGACAACTTTTTTATCAATTAAAATTTTTGGAGTATGGTTTCTATTATTATTAGTATTATTTCTTGTTTCATTGATAATTTTCCAGCTTTCTTTACTGACATTTTTAGAGTTTTTGATTCTATTGTTATATTCTAATTTTTGCTTCTTTACTATATTTTTATATATTATTTTTAAGTCTTTATATCTATTTTTAATAATTTCATTGTTTGTTGAGTTTGCTAATTTAGATAAATCACAAAGGGTTTGATGGAGTCCTTTAATTTCGTTGGTAATCAATCCATGGCTTTGTTTTTGTTTTAGTTTTTATTTTTACCAGTGGACAAGCATTTAAATAGTGAAAATTAAAAATAGAATAGAACTCATTAAAAGCATTGTGATTGGATTGTAAATTTTTTCCCAAAATTCGTGCAGTAGCAGATCTCTGAATGTATTCAAGTTTGCATCAGAATAAACCCGTCCATACATCTGTTTGGTGCTTGCTTTTGCAATATCTATTTTGAACTCACACATTTGAAATGTATGACCTGATAGATGTGTTTCGCTCACAACAATAGAGACAGCAGTTATATTTGAGAATATAGCATCAATGCTGTTATTTATACGTGTAGATTTGTCAAATTCTGTAAACATGTTTACTATTTTTTTTTGATTCTGTATTGTTTAGTAAAAAGTTAACGTTTAAGTCTCCACATAAAATGTAGTGACAATTAGTTTTGCAAATTCTACACATCAGATTACATTTTATCGATAAAAATATCAGTATTTGTATTAGGTGTTCTGTAGACTGTGATGATATATAGTAACCTATCCTTCTTCAAATCGAGAGAAGCTAGTGTTACTTTAATTTTTTTTTCTAAACAATCGTTATACTTGAGTGGTTTAAAGAAAATTTCATTTTTGGCTAACATACATACCCCTCCCCATATAGATTCTTTTCTGCAGAATGAATTTACGAGTGTGTAACCATTCAAACTTTCAATTCATCGCTTGTAAGCCAGTGTTCTGAGAAACAGACGACATCAGCCGGATTTAAGTTCAGTAGGACTTCTATCTATGGCCCCTTGTTGAAGACACCTTGAATATTTAAGTGTATAACTTTTAATTTGGCAACTGGTCCGATTGAGGTATTCTTGTGGTCTTGTTTGCTTTTTGAATGAGTCTCGTTGTCATACAATGAATTTTCTCTGTCATTGATTTTTTTGTTGCGATCTGAGGTAGGTGGGGGATTTCTTAAAAATCCTCATTCCGTCTGTCATATTGATTGTATTTCCTAAAATAGGTTTTATAGGCAACAGATTTAGGCCAAGTTGAAGGCTTATAGATTTCATCTTTGAGGTCAAAGTCTATACCTAACACTTATTTTGGGTTTCATTTGTTGGGAGCTCCTATATAGAGATATCAGCACCCTTAAAGACATCTTGGGTTTTTAGATAATTATTGATTTTATCGGAAGTAACAAGACGATTGACACGATACAGATAAATCCAAGCTTTTTTTGTTGCTCCAAATTCCGAATTCTCCTCATTAGCTCCAAAATTATTTCCTATATGTTACTTTATGAAACCTCTCGTTGTCTGCCAAAGGCGAGGTGTTATCATTATTTAGGTTAACGATATCCTTCATTATATTATGTTGAACCTGTGCTATTGGGTTTTCAGAAATTTTAACTAAAGGTGGCACGCCGGAGTTTCACTGGTTTTGTTTTAGTTATTGTTTGTTGTAGATGATTGTATTGAATGAAGATGCGACTTGTTCTTTGTTGATGATTGGTTTTTTGTTGGGTTCAATGTTTCTTCTTTATTTATTTTTTTTTCCTTTTTTGTTTTAAAAATAAATTATTTTATGGATTAGGGAGTATTTTTGTTCTTTTTCATGTAATAGTTGTTTAAGTAGATCAATTTCTTTTTCTAAAATAATGTTTATTTTTACCTTATCTTCTGACCAGTTGTTGGGAATAGGTGTTTTTGCGCTTTGCTTGACTGGCTGACAGCACACTATTCTGGTGTCACATTTGAGTTTATTTTTCACTGCACATGATAAGTGGAATATGTTACCACAGTTCACACATACTATGTTTTTAGTTGTTTTTGTTTGACAGCATTTAAATTGTTTCTTAGTAAAGTTTTTTTCTTCAATAATGGCAGAGAGAACATTTTTGTGCTTCTCACTTTCCGCCATCTTGTATATTTGATATTAAGAGCCAGAGTGTTATAGAAGTGTGGGGGGTTAGGCGAAATTCCTTCACTAGATAAGTTTTGATTAATATAAGTAGTTTCTTGTTTAAAAAATAATTTTAGTTGATTATTGGCGTCGACGAAATTGGTACCATTATCAGAATACATTATTGACGGTTTTCTTTTCACGTCTTACTGAAAAACGCTTGAGTGTAGCAAGGAATGTAACTTTCGTTAAGTCGCCAACTAATTCTAAATGCAGTGCCTAAGTGGATAGGCATATAAATAAACGTAAATATGCCTTAACAAGTTTATAAATCCGAGTGACTCTATCTTTAAAGTTAAAAGGACCAGCATAATCCACTCCAGTAAAAAAGAACGGTCTGGAGGGGGTGACCCTCTCTGGAGGGAGTGCGCCCATCAAGGGTTGAATTAATAATAATAATTATTATGTTTATTTATCTATAATGTAGTACAAATAGTGTTTTCAATTAAATTTTTTAAATATAATACAATTAAATCTTTTTAAATATAATACAATTAATTTTTTTTTTGAATATAATACAATATATAGTTTAATAATTCTAGATATAAAATATTAAATAAATAAACAAACAAACAAACAAAAATACACTACCCACGAAGCGAACTTGTGGGGAATTGGTTTTGCGTTAAGTTTAAAACATATGACGCATTGACGTATGAGCTTTTTGACTAAATTTCTACCATTTAAAGGCCAGGAACGTTCTCTGACAAAAAACAAGGTTTGTCGAGGACCAGCATGCATTAACCTATTGTGTTCAGAGGAAATTATTAAAGTTGTTAGTTTGTGGCCCTTTGGTTGTATCTAAAAATGGAGATAGTTTTAAAATTTTACTGTTTGAGGGTATTGGTTAATTTTTTCGAATAGCAGTGATTTCTGTGCAGAAGTAATCTGCCCAGCAAACACAAACATGTAACATATATGTATCATTTACATATACTAGTTCCCTGTTACATAACAAAGTAACTTACATGTTACATAATATATCACGTGTTTACTGTGAAAAATTACCTAATTTTGTTATATAGCAGGTTCCTTGTATGTGATGTAACCGATTAAGTACATGTAAGGAACAATGTTACATATCGAAAGACATGTAACATTTATATTACCATTGTAACATTTAATATGCTTCATTGTTACAGCACATATACATTACTTTTTTTTATATAACATTAGTAATATAAATGTTACATAAATTAAGGTATGTAAATGTGTTATATAACAATTGTTACAAAAAAAGGTGAAAATATTTGGGAGAATAAAGAAAAGTAATTTAAACGTATTTGTTAGATATATCAATAAATTTATTGCAAAAATTAATAAAATATCTAAAACAAACAAAAGAAAATAATATGGGGTTTCCCATTAATCCTAGGTTATACAATTAAGTCGGAACCATATGGGGAACTTTTTGTTCTTAGTTTTATTAAAAAAAGTAATTCTTTACAAAAAGTCCTGTATGGTATAAAACTTAAAATGCAACCATCAGATATCATTTTTTTAAAGCAGTATACGAGATTTTTAAAAAATACTCTTCAGCAAAATTCATATTTTTTGACAAACCTCGTACACGGCTTAAAAAAAATAATATCTGATGGTTGCATTTTAAGTTTCGGACCATGTATAACTTTTTATAAAGAATTACTTTTTCATAAAACTAAGAATACAAAAATTTCCCATATGGTTCAGACTTAATTGGACACACTATATGTATAGAACTACTGTAGATTCTCTGATTAACTGAAACATGGTTAGATAAAATTTTACACATTTGCAAAATATTGGAAGTTGAAAATTTAAAATTATTAGATCATAATTAAAAAACTATATACGATTGGTTTACGATATTCGCATTATCTGCGCCGATGCAGTTAGCAGCGGGCTTCATAACGGAATAAACATTTCTAATATCTCAACTTAAGCAATAACATTACTAATCACAAAATTATAAAAAATTAAAAATACATTAAAATAAAAGACTGCGAAAATCTCAAAAACCAATCACTTTATAAGTTCCTAGCAAGAATACATGATTTACTTAGAAGACATTCAAAATTTTAATATAATTGTCAAAACAACTGTTTGAATAGTGGCATAATATTTAGAATGAATAAGACTGATATTTTGCTGGAAGGTGTATCTTATGACACTAAAAGCGTTTGCCAAATTAAGTAAAATAATACTGAGTATTAAAAAAATTATAGCCATTAATAATTTTTCAATTTTTAACTTTAAAATCCAGTATTTCGAAAACGTAACATTTTACCTAAGTACGTTTCGTTTAATCATCTTACTTATAATCAGAGAGCATTTAGTGGTTCTATGTCCCTTTATGAATAAAAAACACTGTACAAAAAATTATCACAAAATTAACATTATTAATTAACAATATTGAAATATACAAAGCTTTAATAAGTTGAATAAAATTAACAAACTAGAAACAAAAACTTATTTTAATATCAAATATTTAAACCTACTTGCGGAATATTAAAAAAAAAATAACAATTTTTCTACAATGGAGTGAAAAATAAAAATAAAAAATATTTAGTTATATGTTTATTACCACTGCCTATTTGTTTTCACGGGACAGTCTCAGGCGGCTGAGTCTAAACCATTCAGCAGCATGTTTTTCAAACTCGAATCCATCCATTATTGATAGAAGACTATCTATAATTAAGAACAATAAAATTAGAATTTTAAAATATAGGGCAATAAAACAAATTACGAATTTTTGGGATAAAAAAACCTGACCATTATTTAAAACCTATTTTCAGTTTTCATCCTGTAATTTTTCAAAGGTTCTATAATGACAAAGTAGAATAAGCAGTCATATTGTTGACAAAAAGTCATCATCATATATACTATCCATACTATCCACCCCCTAATTCACAAATAGATACCTATGCAAATATGCATGCACAGGAATGACAACAAAATTTAATAAGATTTTACATGTATAAACGATTTCATAAAATTTGTGACATGTGGTAAAAGTGCAATCCTAAAAACATGCAATGGTCACTTTCTATTTTTAAAGGACATACCATTCTTGTTTAAATGCTATATCATTAATTTTTTTAAATTCTATACATGTCATTCTGTACCCCAAAGTTATTTTCATTGAAAAAATATAAGAACAGATAAGATCTAGATCGATTACCCTTTGTAAGTTATTTATAACAAAGTAGATTTCTGTCTCTGGAGAATATACCAATTTGTATGATTACAAGAAAACTATATAGTATTAATTTGGATGTATCTGAAAAACTAATTACAAGACAAGCTGAAACTAACTACAAAAAAGTGGAAACTAGCGAAGTTTTAAAAATGAACTGATCTTACCTTTTGTGATTTCGAGGCATTTAAAACAACTAGCCTTTATGTTGTTTCTTTGCCCAAGCCATGAGCACTTTTGGCCCAAACCATTTGTAAAAAGAGCGGACATAATCCTATTCACCCTGTCTTTAGAATGCCTACCCCCAATAGATTGAATATATTTAATCTGAAATGAAAATTTTTTTTGTATTATATTGTTGGTTACAAGTATACAAAATTAGAAAGAAAAGTGAAGTGAGAAAATCGGTTAAGATCTGAAAAACAAATGCAATTTTGGAAATATGAAAATATATAATCCTCAATTCCTCCTACGAAATTATGAAAAATACAACCGCTAAAGCGAAAACAAATTAAAGAAAAATATTAAGTTTCATTGCCTCATCAGTAAACAATTTACAATTATTGGTAATATAAAGTCAAAAGTACTTACGAATTCTTGTTCGTTTTCTTTCTCCAATAAATAATTATTTAACTGCTCCACGGCCTCCAATGAAGAGCAGGTACATGTATTTTTAAAATAATTCCACCTCTGTGGATTTCCTCTCTTCTCCATTTCGTCCACAGTTCTCTGCAGATCCTGGAGCTGGTTGGAGATTATTGAGGTCATCCTTAATAATTTATCTGAAAACAATAATCAAACAATAATACTTGAGAAAATTATTCCCATTAAATGCTATTACCAAGTTTGTCATTGTCGTCAACCAATGGCTCTGTAGTATTACGAGTACATTCAGCTACAACAAAATTGAAATATATTTTACACAAACATCAGTTCATTCAAAAAAATATGGTACCTGTTAATGTCTTTTCAAATAAGTTTGGTAAATATAAAATATATAAAAGATATGAAAGAAATATATTAGGCATACCTCTGTTAACGAACGAGCTTGTAGATTCACTATTCGTTTTCTTGGTAATAGTGGAATTATCTAAAACAAAATTAAAATATATTTTACAAAAACGTCAGTTCATTTAAAAATTATGGAATCTACTAATGTATTTTCAAATAAATAAATATAAGTATATAAAAGATGTATAAGAAATATATTAGGCATACCTCTGTTAACGCATCTCGATTCACCGCTATTTGTTTCATTAGTAATAGTGCAGTTATCTAAAACACAAATTAAAATAAATTTTACAAAAACGTTAGTTTAAAAAAAATACTGTACTTGTTAGGGTTTCTTCAAATATTAAACCATCTGTTGCGTTGGTAAGAGTGCAATTATCTATAATATAAATTAAAATATAGTTTACAAAAACGACAGTTCATTATAAAAAAAAACTGTACCTTTTAAGGTTTCTTTCAGTGAACTGTTCATTGATATATCTACAAAGTAAGAGCAGAAATAATATTAAGTAATATTTTTATAAATAGATTTTCAAGAACTTAAATCTTACCTAAACCAGTCTGAGAAAATTCGCCCAAATCTAAAAAAGAATTAAATCTGTCAGCAGTTTATTCACAATTGGTATTATACTAAAAGAAATATGTGTGTCCTGGATCCCATGAACAGGGATTAGGCTACACCAAACTAATAAATTGTTCGGTGTCTAAAACTATATTCTCCATCACTACTTATAAGGCTTAGTAATAACAGTAACACATATTCCGCGTTTGAGAATCCACATCGGATGCATCTGAGATGTTGTGAATTTTTTATCACGTGATAGAGAATTAGATCTGATTGTAGATGTAATAAACAAACGGTCTAAACTTTATTGGTCACGTGATAAAATGCCAATGACAAGTTAGAAGTGTATACTTTTTAAATTTGACTTTTGAGACTACAAATCAACCTAAACTTGAAATCTAAACAAAAATAAACAAACTAATCACTTTTATATTCATGCTAGCATAAACAAAGGATAAATTGACAAACTTGGCATCACAGAACACTTACATTCTGGTATGGAACGAACACCTCATTCACATCTCATTTCAAATTGAGATGTAAAAAATGTAATCTGGGATAAACAAACGCAGATGTAGTTGTAGCAGATGTGCCCGAAGTGGATAAAAAAACGGTCGAGATGTAAAAAATGCATCGGATTTGGATTTTCAAACGCGGCAATAGTATAACAAATTAGGTAATCAGAATGTCTTTTAAAATTATTTAGTTTTGACGTTTATATTAAATTTATTTACAAAAAGCGTATAATATTCTAGTAGACCGGAACTCTAAACAAACCTGAGTATTTTACATCATTCATTATTTGAAAAATAAAAATGTGCAAAACAAACAGGGTTTGAGGTTTTTCGACGAATGGGATAGATAATAGATGGATAATAAGGTACCGACGCCAAATAAGGCCAGTCTCCTAATAAGGCCAATTTCTAATATATTGGTTAATGTTACATATTCCCAGCAGGTGGCGCAATCTACCAGTCCCACGCGTCTCCGAGGTCGAAATTTGTCAGTAGCCATATTGATCATTAGTGAGCCGGTCGCGTATATTTTTTCACTTTGTCGTGTTCGATCACGCGCATTTCTGCCTATTATAAATGGTAAGTTTTGTTTGATTTTTTAGACTCAAAAATTATTGCTCAAAATACCGGTTGTATTTTTTGTTGTTATTATAGACATTTGTTTATTAGTTAGTAACACTAATTTGAGGATACGATTTCTAATATTTTTTTAAAAACATAAACTTTGGGTCATGAAAATGGCTCTTAATAAGGCCACTTGTGTGGCCTTATTAGGAACTTTCATAAAATAAGTAAGTTTTTTGTTTTCAGCATAATGCCCAAGAAAAAACGAGCCCAATGGACAGAAGAACAACTAGTAGATGCCATGAATGCTGTGAGGAATGGTATGTCTCCATTCAGAGCCGCGAATTTATACAATATTCCCAGACGTACTTTACGCAACCATTTGGAAAGTGGTAGCTTTAAAAAGAAGCTTGGACGTCATCCGATTTTATCTGAAGGGCAAGAAAGAGAATTGGTTACAAGGATAGGACGATTGTTCGATGTAGGAATGCCTTTAACTCCAAAAATTTTACGAAAAAGTGTTTATGCATTCGTCAACGAAAACAACATTCGCCACAATTTTTCGGATCTGAAGAAGATAGCTGGAAAAAAGTGGTTGAAATGCTTTTATTCCAGACATCATGATATAGCGAAACGCCGAGCGCAGAAACTAAACCTGGCCAGAGCCCAAAAAATGAATCATGAAGTTGTAGATGATTACTTTAAGAAGCTCAGAACTACTTTGATTGAAAAAAAGTTTCATATATATAACATGGACGAAAAAGGGTGCCAGTTGACTCTTCATCATCAACAAACTGTACTGGCTCAGAAAGGAGCGAAGCGAGTACATCTAGTGGCCCCCGAACATGGAAAAAATGTTTCAGTTGTAGCATGTGCTAATGCTTTAGGACAATGCATTCCTCCTCTTATTATCTTTAAAGGTGTACGGATTAAGCCTGAGTGGTATATTACCCTACCAGAGGAGTCCAAGATTTTAATGACAAAAAGGGGCAGCATGACAACCGATGCCTTTATAAAATGGCTTGAGCACTTCTCTAAATTTAAAAGTCCGGGGCCAGTTTTATTAATCTTCGATGGAGCTTCCTCCCACTTAGACATTCGTATTGTTGAAGCTGCAGAACAATATGGAATCACATTGTTCTGCTTACCAAGCAATAGTACGCATGAACTTCAGCCGCTGGACAAAGCTGTCTTCAGAAGCTTTGAATCGTTTTGGGACGAACAGGTTTTAAATTTTTGGGTAAATCATCCGAACGAACGTGCCATTACAAGGACCAGATTTGGAGAAATTTTTACACCAGTTTGGTTGAAATCGATGTCCGCTGAAAACATACTATCGGGATTTAGAGCAACAGGTATATGGCCGTTTAATCCAAATGCCATCCCGGAGACAGCATTTGCGCCCAGTGTTCTCACACATCGCGCATTACCTGACAATGTATTTGAAAAGAATGTTGGTAAAAATAGTCAAATTATCACTGAGCCAGTTGCTGGTACTAGTGGTATCACTAAAGTAAAAAAGTCTAGGTTATCAGAAAGCGACAGTGACTCATGTGGATCATACACGAGTGATTCGTCAAGTGATGAAGTTGAAGAGGAATTTGAAGACCTGGACGATGATAGAGCGGAAGAAGAGAAGCAAGAAAGTGATTCAAAAAGCAACGAAGAACAAGAAAATAAACAAGAAAGTGATTCACAAAGCAACGAAGAACAAACTGTAAATATAAAGCCTTCGGCAAAAGATATTGAAGCGAAAGAAAAGAAAACTAATAAAAGCCCAAAGAGAAGTGAAAATAAAGAAAAAAAAAAATGCAAAGATCTTGATGTGAGCTTCACCGAATCTGGGTTCTTCATTACTCCTGAACTTAAAATTTCTGCTAAAAAACGCCGTCCAGCAATCAACTCTAAAGCTCAGGAAGTTACTAGAGATTTGTTTTCCGCCGCAATGAAAAATAATGATGAAGACAATGTAAGATGTTTTCTTGCCTCTAAGAAAATATTACCCTTACTAGTGTCACCCTAGGACTCGGAAGTACTCGAGCGCCAGTTTTATTAATGTGGTTTGCTCCACAACACAGGTAGCTTCTAGTGAAGATGACGGAAAAACTCCAGGGGTCTCGTTGATGTAAGACTATACACATAAGAGGGTAACAATAACGGGCTTTAATCGTTATTGTTACGTTTAAAGAATTGTCGAAGCTGAAAGAGAAAAAGGGAAAGGTCGACACAATTATAAGCCAAATTTTTGAAAATTAATACATCTATTGCTTACAAAAGCTAATAACAATAATAAAAATTAAAATATTTCAAAGCCCACCCCCTTATGAGTCGTTATAACCCTGAACAAAAAAATAACAAAAATAAGCGGTTGCGGACGATGGCTTGACAGGTCGGAGCTCAATCAGACGTGATTTAGATAAATATATAGATAAAAGCAAATGACACGGAGTTCTGAATTAAATCGGATTATGGTAGCATTTAGTTATGAACAGGGAATATAAACGGAAATAGAATTCAATATTAACAATTATGAAAAATAAAATTAATCGGTACCAGGTAACTAGTTTAGCTTCCCATCTAATATCCCACCCTTTTGGAATTAAATCAAAGTAAAAGACAAAATGTAACCACGGATAATATCTAATTTCCAGCAGTGTGACGACACAATCACGCATACAAAACACTAGCTAGACATCAGATACTATTTATTTTTTTGTACGGAACTCAAACGTGTTTTCGGTCGTGACCCCCTTTAAAAAAAAAAAATAATCCACGGATAATGTCTAATCACTAGTAGTGTAGCGACACAATCACGCATACAAAACACTAGTTAGTTTTCAGACAATATTTTCTTTTCTTTTAAACTTTAATCGAAAAACTAATTAAAGGAAAATTAAACTAAATTTTATCACGGATAATACCTAATCACTAGCAGTGTAGCGACACAATCACGCATACAAAACACTAGCTAGGTATCAGATAGTATTTAATTTTCTATACGGAAATAAAAAAAAATGTGTTTTCGGTCGTGACCCCTGTTTAATAAAATAAATAAAAAAAATAAAATCCACGGATAATGTCTAATTACTAGTAGTGTAGCGACACAATCACGCATACAAAACACTAGTTAGTTTTCAGACATTATTTTTTTTATCATTAAATTGATTACGAGTATCACCCTGTATTTAATTTAAAGGAAAGAAAATTGAAATAAAAGAATCAACAACTGTAAAAAAATTAACCTAGACCTGGCAGCAATTAAATCGTTAAATCTATTTATCTTATTAAATAATTTAATCGTATCCAAAATCGGAAAATAAAATAAAAAATTAATTCAGTCGAGAAATGAAAATAAATATTTCTAAAAATGTAAAGATATTTAACAGAGCAAAATGCTTTAATATTAATTATTTCGGTATTTCAAATTCAATGCAAAATAAAGCCGGTATAAATCGGGATGTGTCTTTTATTTACTTCCAAAAACAACGCGATAAGAAATCAGTTTTTTTTACCTGTACTCGGAGAACGGGTTTTGTTTAATCGGAGGCGGCTGGTACTGCTAAGGATTGCTGCTTACTAACTCAAGCGTCGGCGGAAAGATAATGAGATCTGGCCTGATGCAGCTTGTTTTACAGGTGATTTTCGCCACTCGTCGTGCAAACTCGATTATTAATCGAAGATTGAGGTGGGGAAATGCAGGCGATCGTCCGCTGACTTATAAAAAATTTTGATGGGAAGATTCAATATATAGTAAACGTTTGAAAACTCGAATTTTTAACGTTAAAGCTAAATGATGAATACGAAAAATAAAATAAAAATAATAATTCG